ACAAGGATTCAGTAAACAATCAACATTAATAAATATCATTTCCTCCTTCAAAAAAAATTTTTTTTGAAGAAAAATATAACATTATATTTGGCTTGCACACAATTTTAGTGCATTTCAAAGGGCCAGGCTGAATGATAAAAACCTTGAAAATGGTCCATTTTGAGTACCTGCCCTTATCTACCAGTTTTACCTAGTAAACGAATATAAACACCATGGCTTTCTATTAAAATACTCAAATAATCTATTAAGAGCAGGAGTCCGTGGTTGGAGGACTGCATTAAAATCCATATTTCTGGGATCATCACGGCTACAACATCATTCAAATGTAACAAAGGAATAACTACTGTAACTCTTAGGTTGTTGGAGAGGTTACAGTGTGGTTATAATGACAAAGTGTTACTTTTCCTTATCTGTAATATTAAAATCATAGGATTACATAGAAGTGTAAAAGATTTATGAAGGAGTTAATGACCCCCAAAAAGTTTAAGAGGCACTGTGATGGAGAGAATGGTATATAGCAGGGGTGGGCAAAATGCGGCCCAGGGGCCAGCTGCGGCCTGCCAGGCCATTCTATCTGGCCCGCAGTGCCCCTAAAAAAATTGGAAAATTACTATTAATTTGCCCTGGGCTGCCTGTCATGTGGCCCTCAATGGCTTGCTGAAACTCTGTAAGTGGCCCTCTGCCCAAAATAATTGTCTGCCCCTAGTATATAGACTAGTGCAGAGGTTCCCAACCCCTGGGCCATGGCCCAGTACCGGGCCATGAAGGGCTGGCTGCCAGTCCACAGGAGGGTTGGCTGCCAGACCAGAAGTCCAGAAGTGACTGGCATACTGTGGAGCAGCAGCCAATTTGGCTGCTGCTTCACAGTATGCCAGTCACTTCTGGACTATAGTTTGCTGGTCCACGGTTTGCCAGTCTGCGATCACTTCTGGCCCGTGGACTGGTCGGAGGTCACTTCCGGTCCATGGTCACTTCTGACCCGAGGTTTAAAAAGGTTGGGAACCACTAGACTAGTGCAAAGGCTCTTAAACCTCTATAGAGTCTAAATTAAACAAGTGGCTAAAGCACAATAATTCAAATAAACTTGTGAGCCAGCAATCTTAGCAGATCTTTCAGAGGGAGTGCTCTGTTCTTCCAAGTTGGCTTCTACTCCATCTGATATTCACAAAAGTGTCAGGAAGCTCTGCCTATCCTGTCTGCATAACTAGAGACTATTCATACACTGCTGTGTTTTCCATATGTAAAGAATGCCTATGTACTTTCAGTCTAAAGAACCTCTATTTTAGATTAAGCAACAAGATGCTGAGAGGGGAGTATATTGTATATGCCTCCTCTCTTACAAGCAGCATTTGAACTGAACATAAAATGGCAGTTGTTTCAGGCAAAGATTTACAGCTGTACTACACAAAAAACTAAATCCCAACAACTCACAAAACCCGTTTCTTTGCATTCTTGAATGCTTGTCATACTGACAAACTATGGCTTTTACCTTTGAGGCATTTATAGAAAAAGTACTTCAGGACAGTGGTAACAAAGTTTCTCAGCAATTCCTATATTCATTTGTGTCCCCCCACTGATACTTTATTATTTATGACTATCAAGAAATTAAGCATCCCTTTGAACAAAGGAATACCTTTGAAGGTTATTTGATTTTTTTTTTTTTTTTCCTGGCAAACTCTCCCCAGGTCTAACAGATTTATACTTTCAATAGGTTTGTGTTGCAGAACTAAGGGCCCGGGGTAGCCATGACACCCCTGGTAGCCACACAGCCCACTGCTCCACTCTGGCTCCTCAGGGTATCCTCCCTTCTTGACCTTCCCTTGAGTGTAGGGAGGTTGCCCTCAGGTCCCAAAGTGAGCCCCAAGTCCTCAACTAGCCAGTCTCAGTCTAGCCCCTCCCTCTAGTGCACCAAACTGTATCCCGTTGGTCCTGTCAGGACTGCCAGGCACCAGGTGCCTTATGGGCACTATTTGTGGCCTCCATACTCCCCCGTAGCCATGCTCATGCCTCACAGGTATTATTCCATGTCTATTTTGGAGGGGAACCCTGGCTCCAACACAACGTTTGGCCCTCAGGCCCTGAACTTTTGTCTTGGCCTCAGCCTTCCCGGCCTTGGCTCCTTTATTCCTGTCTAATTCACCCTGGACCGTATCTTGTGCACTCTGGGCCAGCCCTCACGTTGCCTTACCCCCAGGCCAGGCTGCTCTCGCTGCCTCAGGTCTTGGCCCCCCGGGTCCCTGACTCCCAGGCTGGGCTGTCTACCACAAAGTGCCCTATCAGGCCTCCACACACCCCCGTAGCTACAGTCCGATCCCCCAGTATCTAACTTAACTGCCCCACAAATACAAGCCTCTGCTTCCAAACTCAAAGTCACCCTCACTTGGGGTCACTGTCACCCTGCAAGCTGTACTGTCCTTGCAGCTTTTACCTCCCAGTTCTCATGGGTGACTTGGGGGCCTGTCAGGTTGTCTCCTGCAGCCCCTCTCTTAGGAGACCCACTCCCTGCAGCATGCAGGGCCAGACTGCCCACCTTGCTCCAAACACTGGGCTTATATGTTTCTAAGCACTGCCCCTTCCAGTCAGGTGTCTCCTCAGCTACCTACAGGAGTTTCCCCTTTGCTGAATGTCCAGCCTGCCCTCTGCTGCAACCCTGCACAGTGAGCTGAGCCTGCTGCACTTCCCCTTCAAGTGACAGGAGACTGTCACAGCATGTTACTTGGCATTTGAGAATTAAACATATCCAGAAGACTCTTCATAATCTGTCTAGTCATCTTATAAATAAGAATAATTTTTGTAAGTTCAATTATTTTATAAATAAGAGTAAACCAACCTCCAAATAACCTATAATGCAGTATTTCTGAGGGCCATTCATTCCACAGGTTGATGAGGCTGTTAGTTGTTCACTCCGACCCACTAAGAGATCTCCAATCACTGGATGACAGGAACCACTATTGCAGTCATCCTGTGCGTACAGGAGACTTATCAGTACTGAATCCAAAAGAAGATGAAAGACAGCTGTAATGCAGCTATATTCTTTGGAGAAAAGTAGTTATATTCTAACATCAGCTAAAAACTAAATTGTCCTTGGTCTGCCCTTTTAAAAAACTTCTTGGTAAGCTTTAGAAGACCTGCTGTCATGAAATTCACCTGCTTCATATCATTACAAAAACCAGTAAGTAACACATTGCATATCAGTATTAAAACTTTGATCATCAATATTTTACTATGCAATAAATACACCAATCTGCCAAGCAAAAATAATTTATTATGCTTTGTAGCTTGACATATGAAGCATTGCTGCACCACTGTGCAGAGCATTAAAAGGCTTATTTTACAAAGGGCCAGATTCTGATCTTATTTCCACTAATATACATTTGAAGCAATTCTGCTGAGTTCAGTGAAAGTACTCCAGAATTATACTGGTGTTACTGAGGTTGGAAACTAAGTCAGTGATTCAATTTGAATTGAACAACAAGCTACTTTCCATACAGTACATTTTCCATAATGAGATAAAAATTCAGGAATAAGGAATAATTTGAGAATCTGGTAAAATTTACAAAGGCTTATGAATAGCTTTGCTTGAAATGACTGTCAATATTTTTCTCCAGTTACATTAAAGTTACATGGTTTTGCCCTTTTCCACAAGTTCTGTCCTGAAATATTGAGCAGGAATGGCAGCCTTCAAAGTTTCATCTATATAACACTATTTGGCTCAACTTGTTCTGATAAAAAGTATGCTTTGAAAAAAAGAGGCTGAGAGGCATAGGACTCTTCAGCCTGGAGAAGCGAAGGCTCAGGGGTGACTTCGTGGCAGCCAGCCTATAAGTACATAAGGGGTGTGCATTAGGAACTGGAAGAACATCTGTTCACCAGGGCACCCCAAAGGAAGACAAGGTCCAATGGTCACAAACTGCTGGAAGACCATTTTAGACAGGCTATAAGGAAAAAATTCTTTACTGTCCGAGTATCCAGGGTCTGGAATAGACTCCCCCCAGAAGTGGTACAAACACCTACTCTGGATACCTTTAAGAAACACTTGGATGCTTATTTTGCTGGGGTGTTCTGACCCTAGCTGACTTCCTGCTCCTTGGGCAAGAGGCTGGACCTGATGATCTTGTGAGGTCCCTTCCAGCCCTAATGTCTATGAATCTAGAAATCAGAACACTAGGAATTTAAGGAAAACTAAAAAAAGGTTCATATAATTTTAGAAGCAACTCAACAGTGTCAATGAAAAGTGTCTGAAGGTAGTGCTGAAGCTGTTAGGTTTCAGGATGTACTTCAACAAAGCAGCAATCTTTTCAGAAGTAAAGTAACAGAGGAGTTTGCTTATTCTACTTTGCTTTTCTCCCCAAGTTCACACTATCAGTTGCTGACAGATATGGATTGCCTGTTTTACAGCCTGATCCAAAGCTAGTGAATATAGAGGGAAGCTTTTCTTTGACTTCAATAGGTTTTGGATCAGGATTCACACTCTTTTGAATGGACATTCTGGAATGAGAGATCTCTGTAAATCAGGGCTGTCTAGCTGGTGGCCCACGGGCTGCATCTAGCCCACAAGGTCTCCAAACTGTCCCTCCCTCCTCTGGTTTCTGCTTCCTGCCCCCAGTCTCGGGAACAGGACAGGGATGGGTGGTGGGAGGGCTCTGTGCATGCAGCAAGGAGAGATCTGGGCTGCTTGCATGGTAAGAGAGTGGCTGGTTTGTCTGCACTTGGCATGTGGTCTGGAGGAAGACTACTACTTGTACTGCCCGCATAGCAGAGGGGAGCCAGTCTGCCCACACTGCTTGCACAGCACAGCAGAGCCAGGATGCCCAAGCTGTCTGTACAGCAGGGAGGAACTCAAGAGCAGGGGAGTGTCACCTGCATGGTAGATGGCCTTAGGCTAGGTACAGACTATTGAAGAGTCCAAGGTGGAGTCGATCTAAGTTACACGGTTTTCTGTAAACAGCATAGTTTAGATCAATAGCAAACAGAACACACATTTGCCTTTTGGTGACAGTGGGGCAAATCTTAGACCAAGTTCTGCCATTTTTTAAATCAGTCTGTGCGCCAATCTTCTGTTCTATTACAGGTATAGACCAGTTTCCATCACTGGTAAAAGAGTGATGTCTGTACCTGGCCCTGGGGTGTGTAGCCTATTTGGTATGGCTCCCAGCTGCCCAGAAGTAGGATATGCCTGCTGTGGAGTGATGTACCTGAGTGTATGATGCTAATGAAAAGGAATGTATTTCAGTGGAATTCAGTAACCATTTGGAATATTTCGTATATGAAATAACATAATGAAAGGCTGGGAAAACATAAATTACATAATAGTATGAAAAAAGATTTAGCCTAGACTCATGTGAAGTCTGCACTTACCAAGCTTTAAAAAAATGATCAGCTTAAACAACATTCTTTTAGGTGAAAATCAAACTAATTTTATGTCTGCAAGAGGAGAAGAAAATTAGCGTGGCATTTAACATCTTATCAAGACACTCTCATGTTTACATGGTGTTTAGAGCTGCCTTACGTTAATTGATGCAACCAGAATAAAAATACAAACACTTAAAAATACAGCCGTAGGTTTCTTGCCTCATGTCTCATGTCACAACTTTCATTCCTGAAAACTATGAAAAGCAGAGGGATTCCTCAGCTTTTTAAAGGTCTATGAAAGGTTATTCTCACTTTATTGAAAATGAAAAAGGGCTATAAGCAAAAATACAATGTTATTATTTAGCGATAACCCATCTGATCCTGAACAGCTCAGGCACAGTGTAGCAGCTGTCTGACACACTCGTTTTTGCTAAAAGCATGGGTATCAGTGGGGAAGTTTAATGGAGAAAATAGTTAATGACACTAGGCCAGATTTTTGCATCATGTAGACAGGTCTGTGGGAGGGGAAGCCACAGTGGAAAGCCCAGGTTAGTTTTTCTTGTGGGATTTTCCCTGTATCCTTCCTATCAAGGAAAGGGTTAGCAACCTCCATGGGAGAAAAGGTAAGATTTAAAAACCCCATGGATTTTGGGCAACACAAAGGATAGCTACCACACTGAAGAAACCCACTGCTTGCCTGCCATCCCATTAGCCCTCAAAAAAGCCATGGTGTCGTTGGTTAATTGTCTTTGTGCCCCTCCTATTCCCCTCCCAAGTTAAGGGAAAACAGTCACAAGAAGATGCATTAATGCTGCTTGTAGCATTAATTTCTGCAGGGTCACAGAGGAAACGTGACAGAGAACTCCGTCCTTGCTTCTAACTCTGCAGAGCCTTTGCCATTTGAAGTGGGGTGCCAGGGTATCACATGCATTTTAGCAAAATTACTCACATGAGTAAAGCCATTCAGTTATTTAAGCCTTTGCAGGCCTGGACCCTATATAGGGATCATAATCTCAATAATTATAGAGCTAGTTCAGCTATAATAATTGGAAAAACTGTAAAAGGGCAACCAACCTTCTACAGTAATATCTTGTTGTTTCAGTTTTACCTACTTTACATCAACTTAACAATGAGTATGCAAAATTGAATAACATATGTGCAGTTGTATTTTTTGCTGTGTAGCTAAAAATTCACAACAGACCCAATCCCCTGGGGCATAATTCATCAAACATTTCTATTAACCTGGACAGATCTAGATATGCTTTTAAATTATGCCCCTGTACTCTGATATTAGTAAGGTATGTATACCCATAGTAATAATTCTTTATCTAGGTAGCTAATCACTGCTATTTCTGACTAACAAACACCACAGTTTAATACTCGCAATATTCACTAAAGTCTACCTTTGCTGCTGTATTGGTTTAACACAGAAAATGATAATCGTCAAGGTGACATGCTGTAACTCGGTGAGTAGCAGGAAAGTTAAATGTCAGAAAAGGTCTTACCTGGGTTTAGAAAGACAAAGGTTTTCTAGAAGTGAGTGCAACAAAATGAAGGAAGCAAGTAAAGACATACCTGCTAGTTCCAGTGAGGAAAAAATTCTTAGCCTGAGGCGCTTGGGTGTAAAAGAAAATGAGAACTAGTATAAAACTTGCCAAAACAGTAATTTGTGAAGTCATTCTGCCTTGGTTTTTGGCACTAGTAAATGCATGCAACAACTACAGCTAGTGATAGCTATGATTATAGTAGAAAATAGTATAAATCATGAATTCATGATTCATAAATGGATGCCTTATGTGTTTTGAATTGTACCTTTGATCCAAGAGGGCAGCAATATGTTTATGCTGGGCCAGCCCATCCTATCCTGTGAAACCTGCAGCTGCAGGGGCCCTACAGCCAAGGAGCCCCCTATGTCCAGCCGTTGCCCCCCCCCCTTCCACTGCCACTGTACTGCCACTGACTTCACGTCTGGCCACTTGCCCCCCTTCCCTCCGTCCCCACACCCGCCCCGCTGCTACTGTTGCTGCGGCCAGCTTCTTCAGCCGCTTGACACACCCTTCTACCCTCCCTGCTGTTACCAGCAGCTTCTTTGCGTCAGGGGCTCCCAAAAATGTGGGTTGTGTTTATATGTAGATTTACAACAAAAGTTTAATAGCATGTGCATACCTTA